CATAACTGTCTGGGTTTAGCGTGTTCGGACGGCGGCATTGTCTGTGTTTGTGTCCGTTGTAAAGCGTTTTCCACTGGCAATTACGTGCGCTACCTGGCTAAACCATGCCCAGGCAGGCCACACAATTTTAGGTGTTCTAAATATTATTGGGACAGATTTTCGGCTGGCAAGCACCCCAAGCTCTCGGACGTCTGGCTTGATGCGGATGCTAACAGTGTTGTTCGTCTCTTTAATACCACCTAGGCCTGTGTCTGGCTCAGCCTCCCGTTCTCGTGGCGTGGGGGTGTGGCCCTGATATAAGGTTTCATGGCATGTATGACTTGTCTGTGCCATTTAAGGGCCGTGCTCGACGGCCGCCTGGCGCCCAGTGCCGGGCCGACTGCGGGATGCCGTGGAGAGCAGCGTAGCGGTAAAAACATCCTCCTCCTCCTCCCTCCTCCCTCCTCCCTCCTCCCTCCCCTCCTCCCTCCTCCCTCCTCCCTCCTCCTCCCTCCTCCCTCCTCCTCCTCCTCCTCCCTCCTCCCTCCTCCCTCCTCCTCCCTCCTCCCTCCTCCCTCCTCCTCCCCCTCCTCCCTCCTCCCTCCTCCCCTCCTCCTCCGCCTCCTCCTCCTCCTCCTCCTCCTCCTCCTCCTCCTCCTCCTCCTCCTCCTTCCTCCTCCTCCCTCCTCCCTCCTCCCTCCTCCCTCCTCCCTCCCCTCCTCCCTCCTCCTCCTCCTTCCTCCTCCTCCTCCTCCTCCTCCTCCTCCTCCTCCTCCTCCCTCTCCAGTCCTTTCCCTTATAAATAAGTTCTCCCTGTCGCATCCCGAGGCCAGTTTTTAGGACGGGCCTGGCGTTTCGCTTGAGGCTTCTTTACCACTAACGGTGCTGAAGCTTGAAACGTGGCAGCAGCGTCACAGATGGAGGGCGGGTCATTTTCAAAATGTAGTTCTCGCCTTAGCGCCGTGCACATTCGTTAAAACAAAAAATATAAAGAATTTCACGGATTGAGGGCGGATCACTTTCAACATGTGATTCTCGCCTAGGCGCCGCGCACAATCGTTTTAAACATTAGCAAGAGTTTCACGGATTGAGGGCGGGTCGTTTTCAACATGTGGTTCTCGCTTTAGCGCCGCGCACATTCGTTTTTAACAGTAACAAGAGTTTCACGGATTGAAGGCTGGTCGTTTTCAAAGTGTGATTCTCACTTAGGTGTCGCGCACATTCGTGTTTTAAAAATTTGCAAGAGTTGCGTTGATTGTACCAGAAATGGTGTTTTGGAAAGATTCAGGATTATGCGGGTGCAGCAGCTACGGATGTTGACTCACGGTGTTGACGTCCCAGAAATGGCGTTTTGACACGGTTCTTGATCGTCAAGACGCAGCAGTCAGAATGATCCGTGGCCTTGAAATTCCGAGAACAGTTTTGGGGGATGCTTCAGGATCTTCAAACGGCTGTCTTCCAACGAAGCAGTTCCCTCAATGGAAATGAACCGTTCTAGGTTCTAGGGGTCTACGAAGAGGGGTCCATTATCGTTGATGACTCTTGGGGTTACACTGGTCCTCCCCTTCCTCCTCCTCCTCCTCCTCCTCCCCCTCCTCCTCCTCCTCCCGCTGTCCACCTGAGACTGGCATCGCCTCATCTCGATGCCGATCGCAAGGATCTCCCCAGTTTTGCGAGGGCGCACCCCGAGGGCTGTCGGCGCCTTCTGGTCGGCAACACCCAAACATACTTGTACTACATGTGCATCGCCCCCCCAGGGGCGACGCGCGCACCGAGAAATCTTATAGTATATGCGTCGTGGCGGGCGCTTCCTGGCCACACCGCTCGGGAAGCGATATACTACAAGATGGGTATACTATATGTTCGGGTCGGACGCGCGCCTCCAAGGAGGACATATAGTATTAGTATGTCCATGTGCGTCCCATCTGGCCTGTCGACCTCAGGGGCAGGCGCGGCCTTTTTAGACTCCTCCTCCTCCTCCTGCTCCTCCTCCTCCTGCTCCTCCTCCTCCTCCTCCTCCTCCTCCTCCTCCTCGAGTGCGCGCGGAGCCAGGGCGAGGACCTCTGGAGTCCGAAGCTTCTTATCCTCCCCGCTCCCCTGGGCTCCAGGGGCTGCGAGTCTTGCATGGGGCGCCTTCGCCCGGTCTCCGGCCCCGGGACCGTCGCAGATCGATCCGGCTCGTGACGTGCAGGAGGAGGATGAGGAGGAGGAGGAGGAGGAGGAGGAGGAGGAGGAGGAGGAGGAGGGAGGAGGGAGGAGGAGGGGAGGGAGGAGGGAGGAGGGAGGAGGGAGGAGGAGAGGAGGGGAGGAGGGGAGGAGGGAGAGGGAGGAGGAGAGGAGGAGGAGGAGGAGGAGAGGAGGAGGAGGAGGAGGGAGGAGGAGGAGGAGAAGAGGAGAAGAGGAGGAGGAGGAGGAGGAGGAGGAAGATATCGACGACGAGAGGAGGCTGGGGCTCCAGGCGTGACTCTTCTTTTGTTTCGCGGGCGCACGGATCAGGTCGCACGCCGGGCAAGCGGGGGCAGGCCATGCCACCTGCGAAGGAAGAAACAGTGCGTCGCACACGCCGAAGCAGGCGGGACTCAGAGGCGACCGACGGCGAGGGTGCGGAAGCCGGGCGTGATTTTCCGCGGAGCTGCCATTTTTCGCACCGTCGGATCTCAGGGTCCCTCGCTCCGCCCGCGCTCCTCCGTCCACCCTGCCCCGCCCCCATCATCTTCCGTCCTGTTCTCCATCCTCCACTCCCCAAGGGCGCCCTCGAGGGCGCGAAGTTATTCGCGCTTCGCGGTTCAGCTCCGATTCCTCATCCTCTTCTTTTCCCCTGGGAGGCGGCGCGAGAGCGCGACGTTATTCGCGCTTCGCGCAGCGCGAAGCGCGAAGTCGGGAGCCCTTGCTCCCCCCTTGTCGTCAGTAAGGCCGACCGTCACACCATCGCGAAGTTGACGTTTGGGTCTTTCGGGGGAGGACGATGAGGATGAAGGGACCGCACTCGGAAGAGGGGAAGGAATAGCAGGATGACGAGGGGGAGTTGGAGGGATGAGGATCTGGGAGGCAAGAGAGGTGATATTGTGCGACCGATCCGGGGACGCTTCGGGATGCTCCGTGCGCCCTCGTCTTGTTCAACAGTCTGTGCGCTCTAGCTCGAGGAGGAAGCAGGAGGGAGGAGGAGGAGGAGGAGGAGGATGAGAAAAAGGAAAAGGAGGATGAGGGGGAGGAGGAGGAGGAGGAGGAGGAGGAGGAGGAAAAGGAGAATAAGGGGGAGGAGGGTTTTGACAGTTGTTTTAGGGGCAGCACGTGCAGAATGGAATGTTTGCGTCGTGTCCGTCGATCGAGCTTGTTGGCGGGCTAGTTCCCGGACGGGTTGGCTCGTTGGTGGGTCGTTGGTCAGGACCTAGCGAGACTAGTTCATGGCACATTGGTCCGTCCCGTCATTTCTATCTTCTCTAATCTGAAGGCCTTGGGCTTATCCCGCCACCGAGCCTGCGTTGTGGGTCCGAGGCTTTTTGGAGGTTCGTTGGGAAGCTTCTCGGGGGCTTCTTAGAGGCAGTTCTGAAGCCTCTTGGGCCCCGTTTGGGGGCCTCTGTTGGGTATCTTGAGAGCTTCCTGTGGCCTCTTTGGAGCCTTTTGGGAGTCCCTTGGGGCCTCTCGTGGGCCTCTTGGGGCTTCCTGGGGACCTCTTGCGGCGGAAGGCTGGAATCGTCGGTTCATGTTCCCCCCTTTGAGGCCGTCCTGGGGCTCTCATGGGCCGTCTTGGCTCTTGGTTTGTCTCCGGACCCTCTTGGGCAGTCTTGCAGCTTTCTTGGGGGCCTCTGGGGTTGTCTTGGGGCGTTGCTCGGGGTCTCTTGGGCCGTCTTGGAGCGTCGGAAGCTCGAAAAGGCGAGACCCTAAAAAACAAGAAAAACGCCACGGAAAATCAATCGTTTGGCCTCGTGTGGCTTTCTTGGGGGTCCTCTCAAAACAGTCTTGGGGCCCTCTTGGGGGCCTCTTGGTCCGTCGTGAGGCCCCCTTGGGCATGCAGGGGCTCTGTTTGGTCACACTGGCGGCCTTGGCGGCGTTGCCGCCTTGCCCCACCCTTTCCCCCCTTCACCGGCTGGGCCACCCCCACACCCTTTCTCCTGCGTTGCGGGAGCGGCGCCGGAATTGGTACAACCCCCCCCCCTCCTCCCGAGCGGCCCCGGAAATGTCAGGGCCCCCCCGCCCTCTCCTCCCTGGCAGAGGCTCCCTGGCCTCCCCCAAGCAGAGCTGAAGCTCAGGCTGTAGCTTTGGGAAACTCGCACGCCAGGTCGGCGGAAACATAGATACACATACAAACATATATGCACATATATATGACCTTATATACACATAGATCTAACATACATACATACATACATGCATACATGCATACATGCATGCATGCATACATGCATGCATGCATGCATGCATGCAGACATGCATGCATGCATATATACATAAACACATACATGCATGCATGCATGCATGCATGCATGCATGCATGCATACACAACTACCTACCTACATACATACGTACATACACACATGCATGCATGCACACATGCATGCATGCATACATGCATGCGTACGTACATACACACGTGCATACACACATGCATGAATGTATGCATGCATGCATACATACACATACACATACATACAGGCATGCATGCATACATATATATACATAATTACATACGTAAATGTATACATATAAACATGCATGCATGCATGTATACATACATACAAACATACATACACCTATACATACAAACATTCATACGTACATACATGCGTATCTGCACGTACATATGCATATACAGGGGGAGAGAGAGAGAGAGAGAGAGCGAGAGAGGGACAGAGAGAGAGAGACAGAGAACATAAATACGGCAAACGACCCAGAAGTCGACCGGGTCGGTTCTTGTTGACAGTTTGGGTTCAAGGTCAAGTGTTCTTGGTCGGAACGTTACGATGCGATGGTTTTTGCAGCGTTCGCCTTTCTAGTTGAGAGTGATCAATGAAATCCCCAGCTTGTTTGCCGAACTGTCACCTACGCGGGGGCGACGACCTCCATGTCGGTCACCGGGGGTGGGGCAGATGATGTGGTCTCGCAATACCGCTTGGCATTGTTGTCGTGGTATAGTACACACCTGGGCGAGGGTTCAACAATGGTGTGCATGGCTGCGCTTTGTGACAAGCGCGTTGCTCGTTGAGAACGGAGTCGCGTCTTGACCAATTAGAGCATCAGCACATGAGAGGAGGATTTGGTGCGGCACTCGCGGGAAACATGTTGGCAATATAATTTCCTCTAAAGTGATTGATGTTTTGTTGACGATCTGTCTTGGTAGCAGCAGCGTCAGACGAGTGTGTGTTTGAGTGTGGCGGAAGTGAAGGGCGGTTTGCGCATTGAGGCCAATCCAAGTGTCCCAGCGTCGAGTCCAGCATTCGCTGTTGCCGTAAATCTCAGCAACTCGGCATGTTCTGGCACAACTGCTTCAATCAGTTCTGCACGCGCACTCTCAGTGAACGGGTGGCGGGTTCTTGCGACCGATTTCGCAATCAGGATCTTGCGCCAGTTGGCGTGTGTTTGCGCTTTCAGCGTGGTAACAGTTTTCTGTTCCGAAGGCACACGTGTATCAATGTGTCCGGCGCCCCTTCCAGTTCCGCCCCACCCTGCCCCTGGTTCCTAAGTTGCCGCCGCACCCCCGCCCAGCCGTGCAGGAATGCTCGATCGGGGCTGGTGGCCCCCAGCCCCCCCCCCACTCTCCTTCTCCGTCTCCTCATTCTTCCTCCCCCTCCCCTCAACAATTACTCAATATGAATACTACTCTCCCTCTTCCCCTGATGACGGTTTGAAAGTGCTCCACCCCCCCCCCTGCGTAATGTTTTTTTTGCACACAGGTTTCCCCCGAGTTGGGTTTTCGCCTGCATTTGTTTCAAAATGCTGCTCTCGCTGAGGCGCCGGCCTCATTTTCGGGCCCCGCTCGTTCCGAATCATGCTCCCGCTGCAGCGCTGGCCTCATTTACATGCTTCCGCTCGTTCCGAAACGTGTTCCCACTGCAGCGCTGGCCTCATTTCCGCGCTTCCGCTCGTTTCGACTCGTGCTCCCGCTGCAGCGCTGGCGTCATTTTCCGTGCCATGCCACGGCATGCAATGCAATGCTAGGTTGATACTACGTTTTGCGGTGCTCTTCTACGCCATGCCTTGCCGTGCTCTACAATGCATCGCGTACCCTTTCGGGAGCATTGCCCTGCTCGACATCCGACTGTGCGAGTAGAGAGGGGATCTACGCCATGGTAAGGGATGGGATGGAGGGGTAGGATGTCAGATATGACGCGAGCGCACCTAGCTTGCCCCCTCCCCCTCCCCTTCTCCCCCCCCATTCCTTCGTCCCCCCCCTCCCCTGCTCCTGGGGGGGGGGAAGGCGGACCCCGAGATGGTGGGCCGACTCGTCGTCGGCACGGCGGACGGCAGAGCGCTGGTCTACAAGTGAATGCAGCGGCTGCCTCGGGTCGCGATGGCGGCGGCAGGGCGGCAGACCCCCGGCTGGAACTTCCTCCTCTCCCGCTCCGCTCCCGCCTGTCGTGCGCTCTCCCGCCTGCCGCCTCCTCATCTTCCTCATCCTCCTCCTCCTCCGTTCCTCCTCCTCCTCCTCCTCCTCCTCCGCCTCCTCCTCCTCCTCCTCCTCCTCCTCCTCCTCCTCCCGCTCCCCCTCCTCCTCCTCCTCCTCCTCCTCCTCCTCCTCCTCTCGTGGTCCCGTACGGTGGAGACCCCTGCCGAGGAGCACCCCGGTTGCCTCCAGGGTGCCTTGGGTTTCCTGGGTTTCGATGGTTTTGCGACGGAGAGCGTGGCGTCCCCGCACCGAAGACCAAGGGACGTCCTGGGGTCTCAGGTTTGGGCTTCTTGTAGCAGGCTTCTTGTGGATCTGCCCCAGTTGTAGGACGTTCCCCAGAGGCTCCAGCGCCGGGGCCCGCATTCCATGTTCGTGGTCCCGCGGGGAACTCCGCGGGAGGCCCCAGTGAGCGGCGGCATGGCGGCCCCGCTCCGTCTCGGCACACATCTCTCACAGATCGTGGCCCACTACAGTGGGGGCGCGTGCCAGGAAACCAGTGGGATTTTGCCAGGGTGCCCTGGGTTTCTTGGATTTTGATGGGCTCCCAATCAGATCTAGACGATTTTCGATCGACACGTGTGGATTTTCACTGAACAACTCGCGTATTTCAGGGTTGGGTTTCTTGCGGAGGTTTCTTGTGGCCGAGCTTTTGCTGTATGGGAGCTCTATCGAAAACCCCAATGGCAACGCCCGCATGGCCGCCCCGCCCCATCTCGGCACATCCTTGACATGTTCCGTGTCCCCATAAGGAGATCCACCGAAGGGCGATATTCACAATATCGGCACTTGAACTGCACATGGCTGGGCCCCGTTGCCAGGGCAATGTGCTGCTAGGGTGATGGAAGGAGGGCGGCATGGTCTCAGGTCAGCGGTCTCTCAATTGGGGGAAGGGGTGTTTGTTATTACGGTGCAGTCATCGGCCATTCCTTCACGGGCAGATGGGACTCCATTGGAACAGTTGATCCCTCAAACCACCGATGCCCATAGGGTTGGGAGGATGTGCTTCAGAGAGCTGCTATGGGGGTTTTCCGAACCACGTCGGTCCTTGCAGATGATGTGCGTGATTTCCAATCTGTCATGGAAGGTGAACCCGTGTGTCTTCATAAGTTCAGCCACGCGCTGAGGGGAGTGGGGGGAGGGGGGAGGGTCGCTTAGAAGCACCCCTGCTTCTTAGAAGGCGCGGGCCTGATCTTTAGATGTAAGGCCGGCGCCTTCTAAGAAGCAGCCTCTTTCTAAGAAGCCGTCCCCCCTCCTCCACCCCATTGCGCGCGCCGCCAAGAAGTGCCTGTTGGATTACGGGGTGGGGCATCTTTCAGCGTCTGCTTGCTATGGCTTGTCGCAGCAGCGGAGCGAGCGAACCAATATCTACATTGTCCGTCATTATTTGCGAATTGGACCTTGGTTTTCAGTCGGACGTGTCCCCCTACAGGAGGAACATTCCAAAATAGTCAAAACATAGTTCGGGGACGATTTTAACATATTTTTCACTAGTTTGATATTTGTTTGAGTTATTCGTCATGTGTCGCCCAAAATCCGACTGTAGGGGTACATGCCCGAGCTAAATCTACAATCGCCGTTACTCTTTGGGAATTGGACCTTGGTTGATGAATCTGGTCTCTGTCACTTGCGTTCCCCATGTTGTGAACGGGATGTAGTATCGTTTTGTCGCGTCCTGATGTAGAGGCCACTCGGGAGGATTCGTTTCCCGCTCTTTTGCTGCGCCGGTCTCGGACGAATGCCTCATGTTTAGGCCTGCGGGTTTCAGCATCTCAACCACCCAACTCTCGCCATCACTCGGATGTACAGATTTTTGATCGCACGGCAGTGCATGTAGCTTGTCTTTCTTTTGAATTGCATTGGCCATGCGAACCAGGCCCAAAGGCTTCTCACGGCAAGAGGCTTCAGAATTGAAGACTCAGGCTCGGAGCCAGCCGCCATGGGGTTGGAAGACGAAGACGACAGGGTAGGACAACGCAAAGGAATGACCACCCATCCTTTGAAGAAGGCAATAAGGATCCTTCTGGGCCAACAACAACCTCCTCACCGTCCTCGTCCTTGCAAGCCTCATCACCCTCCAGCTCCACCTCCCTCCCCTCCGCTTCTTTTTCTTCTTCTTCTTCTTTTTCTTCTTCTTCATCCTACTACCCATTTCCCCCTCGTCCTTCTCTTCCTAGCCGTGTCGGCAAGGGTCACGCGTGGGGTTCGCTCGGGCACGGCGCTGCGCACCTGGAGACGGCTCAGCGCCGACATGCGGTACGGCCACAGTGACCCACCGACCAGCAGCGGCACCGACAGCCCAGCAACAGCCACCAGCATCCCCGACGAACATCACCACCGACCACCATACACCAACCATTCTTCACCGACAGACCAGCAGCATCACCGACTGCGCAGCAATAGCAGGCAGAGCCACCGACTGACATCGACATATCAGCAGCACCACAGACGAGAACACACCGGCGATACCGCCAACAAATTCCAGATTTTCTGGCCGTGGCCATCGCCAGGAGCGCCGACCGACGAGCAGCAACCAGCACTTCGACCAGTCAGCACCACAGATCATTCAACGCCGGCCGACCATGTAGAGAAGACGGTCATGCACGAAATTGTTTGGTCGCCTTTAACAAACGGCCGCATCAGCGAGACAGTCCAATATCGTGAAGTTGAAGAACTGGATCGCGTGGCGACCAGCCAGACAAGGTTCGATGAGTTATGGGCCAATGCGGAAGGACATGTTCTCTTGCTTTCGTCGCACGTTGGATCGACCGCATACTGTGTCTCTGAAATCTCCCGCACACGATCGCAGTGACCTCCTTGAAGACGAAGTGGCTGGTTGTTGGTTATGCAACTGGTGCCAGAAGTTGCCACGTGCTCGTTTCCCAGTCAGGATGCCCCGGTCCATGCGCACAGATGATGCATCGCGCCTTTTCACTAGATCGGACATAGCACCAAAGCGCGGCCCGACCTGGCACCCTTGCATGGCTTGATCGCACAAGCTGGGGCATCCGAGGAATTTGGGCGACGATCGCGCCGACATCTTTGCAGGGCTCGTTTCGATCCTTCCGGTTTGATTCGATTCGACTTCGATGGTCTCCGATCCCGATTCGTTTTTATGTGTGATGCCTGTTTGGGCTCCGATTTTGGAGGCATGCTAGCATACTGGTTTCCGCCGATACTTGTCCCGACTCGGTTGCCGGTTCCCGCCGTCCGATTCATGTCGATCGCCGAATCGATTCGACTTATCCATTCGATGTCTGGCTCTCCTGTCTTTGTCTCCGTCGAGGTTGGATGCGCTGACTATCTCGGAGAAGAGGTCGAACGTGCGAGAGCCGCGCGGCGACATCGGGCGCCATCGGGCCTGCGCGACGCCCACGACGAGAGACATGTAAAGGCGGCCGTCGAGGACAGGCTAAGGCTCGCAGAGATGCGCGGGCCATGGCGCCCGCGCGCCTCGGCTTCGGCCCAATCGCGGGTCGACATCATCTACGCCTGTTGCCACCTATCGGATAAGCTGGACCAGCGCGTCCTCTGCTCGACGCTGGAGCGGCGCTACGACGCGCCGCGTCGTTGGGCGCTGTTCTTCGCGAGAGGGCTGGGCCCACCTTTGGGCTGGCTCGCCGGTCCGTCGTTTCCTCGCCGGGTGGCGCTGGGGCGCCGGGAAGGTCGGGCGCATTCTGGCGCCAACGCGCTGGAGCGCCTGCGGCAGCTCGGACGGCGGCCGCCCGGATCATAAAGAGCGCCGCTTTCCGGAGCAAGCCGCCGACGTAGAGGGCCGCTTTTGCGTCGTTGTGCAATTTCAGACGCATCGCGTCATCTGGCCAGCCCACCCAGACACGATTTGGAGGCGAATTGTTTTGATCAGAGATGCGGGCGAGCGCGCAGTGGACTCAGGGGCTGGGGAAGACGTCGCATCCCAAGAGGGGGGGTGGAGGATGAATCGGAGGACGAGGGGCAGGGGGATTCGGGGGGCGGACGCAAGAGGGGCCAGGACGAATAGTCCGATGATGAACGGGGCGAGGAGGAGGAGGGGGGGCAGGCAGGGTGGCCAGAGGCCTTTTGGATATATCCTGGAATATATTAGGATGTCTCTCGAAAGTTTTCGCGGGTTCTCCCGGGTCGTTTTGGGCGTCTCTTGGCGGCCCCTGGGGCCTGTGGGGGCATCTTGGGCAGCTCGGGGGAGCTTCTCGGAATTTCTTGGCGGTTTAGGGGGGGGGGCCTTTTGAGGGCCTCTTGGGGGGCCTCTTGGGTGCCTGTTGGGGCCCCATCGGTGTGCTCTCGGGGGCGTCGGGGGCCACCTCGGAGGAACTCGATGCAAGAAGGGCGGGCCCCATATTTTGCCGCCCCCCTCTCCGGGTGGCCGACGCGCGCCGAAGACACTCTGAAATCGATGATTTGGTTGTCGCCGAGGCAGTCTTGCACGCCCCAATCGGTCGCGAAGCCCCCGCCCAGGCGCCCGGGGGGGCAGGGGGGCGGGCGCGCGCGTTCTCGAACATTCAAAAATGAGGCGGAAGAACAAGCGTCGTAAAGCACTCGCGCCCGCAGGGCTGGTGGGATTCATTCGCGCCGCGGAGGGAGGCCGGCCCAGTGAGATCTCGGCGCGTTCGTTGCTATGCCCGGGGTTTCCGGGGCGCCGTCAAGAACCCGCGCCGAATCGATGGCGATTCGGCGCGCCACATGGGCGACGGCGCGGGCGCCGGCTCCTTGGCCCACGCTGCGTGCCCTGCGACCCGGGCAGATTTCGCTTATCTCGTCGACGCATTAGAGCAGCCGCGGAGAAGTTCCATTTTGCCGATGGCCCGCGCGTCGCCCCGTTCTCGGCACGGCGGCGCGCGCGACGCAGCCCTCTCGACCGCGCCCCGCGCTTTCCAGGCCCTCGCGCC